TGGTCACAAGCTGGCGGAGGGAAGGTTTAAGTTGGACATCAGGAGGTGCTACTTCATGGTCAGGGCGGCTAGGGTCTGGAACCAGCTTCCAAGTGAGGTGGTGCAGGCTCCCACCCTGGGGGTTTTTAAGAGGAGGTTGGATGACCACCTTACTGGGGTTGTTTGACCCCAGTGCTCTTCCTGCCATGGCAGGGGGTCGGACTAGATGATCTGCTCAGGTCCCTTCTGACCCTAGAAACTATGAAACTATGTACACCAGGTACTTCTGTTGCATTGGGGCCACTGGTGACATGGGCAGACCATTCCAGCTGGGGACCAGGAAGGAACAGGAGATCAAATTTTGGACAAATCCATGGGGTTTTCCTCTGACCTAAGCACTAAATCTTCTTGTCAGCTCTTCCATCCAGCACCTTCTCCGTCTGGCAGCCTTTCTTATCTCCAGCACCATGTCATTCAAAGTTAGCATTCAGGGCTTGGACCCCTACCAAAATGCAGGGCTTGTCTCCACCCCATTCCCATAGGACAGAGCCTCATTCAGGGAAGTCCTCTTGATTATCTCAGGTATTGGTTTCCCTGTGCAAAAATAATCTTCCCTGAAAAACTTTTTGGCCCTGTACTGCAGGGATTCTGCAGATTCTAATAAAGCATCAGGGCTAACTGTATCAGCCCTTCCTCTTCACTCCAAGTAACCTAACCACGTATGATCTACACGGAAGTGCATAGATCTCAATAGGTGAAATCTCTGGTGCTGACAGGCCTTGCAGATGCTGTGACATTTTATTGTTAATGTTGTTTAGATGTATATCCCATCCTAACTGAAAAGCTTCATGGTGGGTTACAATAAATGACAAACTACCCACAAATGAGAGACAACATTAGACTCCCCAAATGATACCCCGGAACTTGAAAACTCACTCCAGCTTTCCTGTCTGTCACCCATAAGAACAAACTCTCCAGCAAATTCCAGCAGTGTCTCCCAATTTTCCCAATCCCATTCATGTCTAATTATAAGAAACCTGTTCTCGTTCCAAGTGCCCTACCTATCACACCCAGGAGAGATCCCTCTACCCTCCCCTAATGTCTCTTCCATACCCATACTTTCCTGTCCTACAGAGTGTCTGTGGCTGTCCCAAAAAAGCACATATCTCTCCTGAGTCCCTCCAACAAACACAACATTAAATTCAAAAGTACTAAAACAAGGACATAACAAAGATCCTCTGTCCCTGTCAAAGGGCAACACCAAGGAGCATCCTTAAATGTTATTTATCAGAAGGTGGCACCAGGGAGGGCTGTTGGCTCTATAGGGTATGCAGGCTGGCTGAGTGCTTTTCCCTTGGTACAGGTAGCCAAGATGGTGCCAGGGTAGGGGGAAGAAGCTGATGGCAGAGTTGTTTCAAGTCAAGGAAACCTGCTGGATCTATAGGGCCTTGCCTCTGTTCAGGCTCTGGATCTCAAGAGATGGAAAAGGTCCTCCACCAAGTCAGTACCATAGCCATCTTCATGACCTGGCACAATAAGTCTAATATAATAAAAACTCCAGTTACTGGCATAACTTGGTTTTACTCCTCTTTAGCTATTTGTGATGTGAACTCGTGATCGTGCAATCTCTCTGAATGTGTACTGGCCATAGCTCTGTGCTTGACTCTCTAGCTTTATTGAGCAATGAGAGTCCCTCCATTTACAGCTTTGTAAAGGCTGTTCCATGACCAGAAGACCCAGCTTTCTTTTGCTGATAAGCTCCATTAACATATGGGCTCCAGGTGAAGAGAACAAAGAGGAAAACAAATGATTTATTTTGATCTTCAAGGTTTTCCTCCTGCAGCTGAAGGACATCGCCTTCCCAGTCCTGATGGAGGACAACAGCACAGAAAGCATAGCAACTACAAGGAACAGTTCTGAGGGAAGACCTTCTTAGTCTTTGTACCTCTAGGGTGGTGCATGTATAATCCAGATGGCACACAAGGGCTATGTATCTTGGGCACAGATGGACTCTAGAGAATAATGATGTCAACTTCCAACCTCTACTGTGATTCCTGTGGGAACTGATATTTTTAAAAGCTACTTACTTGGCCAGATTTGGGGAGTCTTTCTTGGGTGTGGGAAAAGCCAGTTATTTGACACCAGAATAATTTCCCTTGTCAAACTTCCAATTCCTTCTCTGAAGCTTGGAGGTGCTACAACTTAATAGAAGTATTGTAAGAATTATTTTAACGTGGGCAAAAACACACATTTTACCATAACCTTGTTCTCAGGAAAGATTAACTGTTTCAGACAGCTTTTTCCAAATAAAAAAACCCATAATTCCACCTCAGGCAGACACACAGCATAGTAGCCCTTTACTCTAATTATTAAAATTTGGCAAAATTATAACAAAAGGGGGTCTTAAATTAGAATGAGTTAGGCAAACGTAGATTTGTTGGTCACTGTTACGAATTATGCTCGTAAGCCATGTGCAGTTCGCTCTAGGCTGGGGCAATGATCACGCAGAGCAAGTACCTAAAGTCAGATACAGGAGTTTTTTATTCGCTGCAGTGAGGTGCCTCCGGGGAGAGACCCTGCCTATTAGATATAATTTTCTTTTATACCTTAGTTTGTACATTAGCATTAGCTCGTGCTTGCGGAAATACCCAATCATTTACTAACTAAACTGCTACTCTATCTAATCAGGTGGCACTGTGCACATGAACACTGAAGTTTAACCCTCGTGACTGCATGCTCTATGTACTCTTGCCAAGTAGTCTGCTTCACTAGAAAAACAGTTCTTGTACCTCTTTCAAGGTTTTTTGTTAACCGGATTCAGCTAGTTTTGTATCTTATCAGTAGCTCTTATACAGCACTTCTCTTTTCATTCACCTAGTACGTGCTGCATCTGCTTTTATGTATTGAAGTTAAAGGTAAAAGAAATGGCCTTACTTCTATATTGCAAAATCTACACACAACAGTCACTACTAGTCCTTTCTTTGATTGCTTCTCCTACCCCTCCTCTGTTTATCATTCCGTTTTCCCTTCCACTCTAACTCAACTCCCACTTTTTTGGGATCACTGGGTAAAATTTAATGACCTGTGCTTTATAGGAAGTCAGGCTAGATGACCTTAATGGATTCTTCTCACTCTCAAATCTGTTTAAATTCATTTCTTCTTTCTTGTTTGTCATGAAGTTTTCCTAGTTTTCCCCTGCCATGCTTCCTTGTCTCTATCCTCTTCCTCTTTTCTTTTCTTTCCTCATCCAAAACTTTACATTGCTCCCCTCCCCACCCTTTTGCCCTCCTTAATGCTTGCATGCTTTTAACTCAGTTCGTATAACAATGTATATTCCCAATTTTTCTAGAGGCCACTATAGAGTTGTCTACATGACTCCAGAGTTTTGTTCAGGAAACTTATCGTTGCTTCAGGAACTTGACCAAACTATTGGTAAGTTAACTTCAGGTTCATGGAATTGCATTGTTTTTTATTCAAACAACTACTAGGGGTGTGCAAAGTGGGTCCTATTTGATTTGGATTTGGTCCAAATCAGGGACAGCGATTCGATTCATTGATTTGGATCACTGTCCCTGATTTGATTTGGCCGAATCCAAATCTGAAGATTCGATGTGGACTTGGAGAATCAGCAATTTGGACATAGACACAGCTTTAAATGTTTTTTCTACATGCCTCAAGGTACCAGCGCAGCTCATGAACACTGCGGTGCTGGGGTGCATGGAGCGTCCCACAGGAGTGCAGGGGGGCCCTCCACGTGCTTGGCAGTGAACCCGGAAGTGGACCAGAAGTACTTCTGGTCCACTTCTGGGTCCTCCAGGGAGCACATAGGGGGCCCCCCCCGTACCCTTCCAGCTTGGCGATCGGCTGTGGGGGGACCCTGCGTGTCCGCCCCCATCCCTGATCCAGAAGGCACCAGTCGCTGAGTCGGGGAGGGGGGGTGTGCCAGGGTGGCCCCCTGTGCGCTCCCTGGGAGACCTGGAAGTGGACCAGAAGTGCTTACCCAGCCCAAAACTGTTACTCTGCAGCAAAAGTAGTGGTCCTCAAGCTGTGCTGGATATGCACGATTTTGCCTGCAAAATAGGTGACAAACTAGTCAAAGTGGATTGAAACAGACTCAGTTTCTGGACAGAAACAAGTCAGGTTAACTAGACTGTTTACCACCTAGAACAGTTCCATTGGATCACACTTTGCAGATGCAGGCAGCAGTGGGGAAAAAACTGCTTCTTAGCAGCTGCCACTGAGTCCTTTAAGAAAGATCTGTAACAACTGATCAGCTTCAGCATGGGTCAAGAGCTACTTGCGTACCAGCTGCCTACTCTCGCACTTAATCTGTCTCAGTACCCCCACGTGCCATAGGGACCTGTGCTGCTATAGTAGTGGGAACAGGTGTCTATGACAAAGGTTAGTGTATTGTTCCATACATTAACCAGGCCATCAACAAATTAGCTGTCATGATCAGTGAGAATGTCACTTAGAGTCCTGGAATTCTTCTGGTTCCATGAGTCTCCAGGGGCAGACCTGCAAAGTGACTGACAACATGCCAGAGCCTAATCAGAGATTGTCAGCTACCAAATATAAAATGCCACCTGCTTTTCCACACTACAAGAAACAGAAAAGTAGGGCTAGAAGCCCTGTAAACTATTTTTGTAACAAGAGCACACTGTTAGTTCATATTCAACTTATGATGCGCTATATAACCCCTGTATCCTATTCTGCAGTATTAAAGTTTAGCCAGTCATCCCTCAATCTGCTTGTGCATGCAATTATTCCACTGTAAGTGCAGGACTTTCATTTGTCCTTATTGAATTTCATTCAATTAATTTTGGACCAATTCTTTAGTTTATCAAGGTCATTCTGAACCTAATCCTATCCTATCATCTAGGTTCCCTTTAACTCTACCCAGTTTGGCATCACCTGCAAATTTGCTAAAGTGTATACTCAATCCTATCTTCCAAAGAATTTCTGAAGATATTAAACAGTACTGGACTGGAGACAGATCGCTGCAGAACCCCATTCAAATGCTTCCTTACAACTAGATGCTGAGCTTTTGGGCTGCTTGCAGACATGGAACACCCCCTGAGCATGCCTCCCCCAGTAGCACTTTTAACTTGGTGCACTCCTGTGCTGAATCCAGCACATGCCCAGAAGAGGCATCATGTTAGTTGCACCCAGCTTTCCCAATGTCTGTATAGACTGGGCACTTTAGTGGTACTTTTTTTGCAATTTTATCTAATAGCTGATGATTTAATCAGCTTTAGATAAAAGCATCAAAAAGCCTCGCTGAAGCACCTGATTTATACAGATGCTGTGGGGTCGGGTCAAAGTAACGCGCTGCTGCTTCCAGTAAAATGTGGGGGGAAGTTCCCCCCCACATCTGTCAGTACCCTTGATGACTAGTCCTTGAGCACAGTAATGCAACGGGTTATGAAGCCACTTTACAGTACTTTCATCTAGACTGCATTTCTGTAGCTGGCTATTGAAAATGTCATGGGAGACAGTGTCAAAAGCCTTGCTAAAGTCAAGTTATATAATATCCATTGCTCTCCCCTCATCTGTGAAGCCTGGTTCCCTGTCATAGAAGGAAATTAGGTGGGTCAGGCATGACCTGTTCTTGGTGAATGCATGTTGGCTCTTCCTGATCACCTTGGTCTCCTTCAAATGCTTATACATTTCTTGATGACCTGCTCCATAAATCTTTTCAGGTGCCAATGTCAGTGTCACTGGTCTGTAATTCCCTGGATCCTCATCATTCCTTTTAAGAACAAACACTATATTTTCCTTCTTCTAGTCATCCAGGACCTCACCCAACCCCAAGAGTTCTAAAATCATAATAGTAAGTGGCACTGCAATTTCCTCAACCAATTCCTTGAGTGCTCTAGGAAGCATCCCATCCAGCCCTGCCAACTTGAAAATAACCAGCTTCTCTAAACTGCTTATCTCCTCCCCCTTCCTTGCTGCCAAATGCACTCATCTTATAGCTGACTTTATTCAGAAAGACTAAAGGAAAAAAGGCATTAAATATGTTAGTATTCTCAACATGATCTGTTACCAGATTGCACTCTACGTTCAATAAGGGACCTATATTTTCTTTGATCTTCTTGTTATTTCTGACATTACTTTCTCTTGATTGTCTTATGTGTCCTGTTAGCTGCAATTTATGCTTTGGCTGTCCTGATTTTTCTCCCTGAATGCCAATGTGATACTCTGAAACTCTTCCCTAGTACTGTGGCTAAGATTCCACTTTTTGTAGGATCCTTTGAGTTTCTACTCACAGAAGAATTCATTGTGTAGCCCAGCTGGTCTTCAGCTGAACTCCTCATCCTTTCTTCTCTTCATGGTAGCTTTCTATTGTGCCCATACTGCAGGTTATCCTGGAGTCCTTTCCCACCCCCATGCTTACCAAAGGACCCTGCCAGAGGGATCCCTCTACCAGTTCCCTGAGTGTTTTAGTTTGCTTTTCTGAAGGCCAGCATCTTTATTCTTCTTTTTCCTAGGACCTGGAAGTCTACTGGTTCAACCTATGTTACCTTCCACCTTTACAATCCTGACCAATTACTTCATGGGCAACATCATGTTTATGATTTACCTCTTGAGTGACAAGGCCAGCCTCTGCCTATCTATTGGGGGTCTCATATTTTGAAGGTGCTTCCTTCCTGCAAGGAACTGCTCTAATATAATTTGGAAAGCTGGTCCTATCTACACGAGTATTTTCCTCTTTTTTCGACTGATGCCCTCCAATATTGTCATAAGAAAACCAGTTTGCCCACCTGCAATATTTGTATTTCAAAATGTACATATTCATTAAGTATAATGCTCTGAAAAGTCAGCTAGAGTAAATAACATGTTTTACTTTTTTGAAAATACTACTGGGAACTTCTGAAGTACTGTTTGAGAGATGTGAATTCTTCCTCTAATACTGAAATGCCTACAGAAATCCTTCCCCTATCATGGTTCTCATTGCTGATCTTTCACTCTCTCTCTCAAAGCAAACAGATTTGCTGCCTGTATATTTCTCTCACTGATAACAGGATTTGTTGACACCAGTTAGTGGAGATAACAACCCTGGTCTCTGAACATGCTTTGTGTTTAGAAACAAGGCTGAGAAATTCTCAGAGCAGGGTATAGTAAACCACTAAGAAAAAGAATACCAAAAAGTGCCATCAGTAGCTTGTAGGGCTGTGTGAAGCTTCAGTCCCTGATTTGATTTGGTGGAGATTCAGCCCAATTCAGTGGCCAAATCTCCAAATCTGAATAGAATCAGAGGACCCTTTAATCTCTCCAAATCGAATTGGAACCCTCTGAATCAATTCAGAGAGATACAGAAAGATTTGGAGATGTCTTGTCTTTTTTATATGGATTGTTTAAAATTGTTGTGTAGCGGGTTGGTACGCCTTTAGCCAGGCCCAGGAGTCAGCCATTATCTTTCCCTATCCCAAACTAAACATAATAACAGAACATAAACAACCCTCCCCCCTGCCTTTCTTATCCAGGGCAAGGGCCTCACTGCACTGTTTCAGTGTTGCCTTTTCATCTTCCCTTCCTCCTCAGTGTTATCACTGGGAGTTTTCTTACTTCCTCCAAGGCCAGCCAGTCATCCCTATCAGCTCGCCCAGAGCTCCTAGGCAGGCGGGCATTTGCCTTCTAACCCTGTGCAGCTGCGCTTCTACCCCTGAGTCATGCACCTTGTTAGAAATACCATCTCCTAAGAGTGAAGCCTGGGATACTTTGTGTTGCCTATTCCTTCCACCATTTCATCTATTCTGAGTATAGGATATACATCACACTTTGAAACTGCATTCAATTGTAGAAATCAATACAAACCAGTCAGTGTGATTGCACATATATCAGGGTTTTTCATGTGGCTGGGAGCCCTGTCAGCTGTGGGTTCCCAACCACAGGGGTGTATCTTTCCCAGCTGAAGCTGCAAGACCCACAACTGCTGGGGGGTCTCATCCCCACAAGGTGTGGACTCTGGGTCCTGGCACTACCCCACAGCTGCTGGGACCAAGAGTCCCACAACTGCAGAGGCTAGGACTCTACATCATGTTTTCCAGTGCCAAGACCCATCTGTGTCCCGGCAGCTGCAGTCTCCCCACCCCGGGAGTACGTGAAACACCTGGGGCAGGGAGATGGTCACAGCAGTGATCTCCCCACCTCAGGAGTTTCACACACACCTGAGGCGGGGAGATCATCCTAGCTGTGTTTCCCCACTGCTGGGGTGCATGGGGTGCCCCTGCAGCTGGGAGCCTCTCAGCTAAGGGGGCTCCCAGCTGTGGGAGTTTGCTTCTTGCTGGCTACAGGCTCCCCCCTGCACCAGCAATAAGGTGCGATGGGATCTAATGTGCATTTCAACAGTCATGCCTCCTGCCATGCATATGTGGCATGGCAGGAGGCACATTTGTGTGAATCATGCATTAGATCTCATTATGCCT